GCTTCTTGCTGCAGATGTCGGTGACGTTTGAGGACGTGGCCATCTACTTCTCCCCCGAGGAGTGGGCAGAGCTGGCGGGCTGGCAGCGGCGACTGTACCGGGAGGTGATGCTGGAGAACTACCAGGCGGTCGCCTCTCTGGGTGAGGACTCTCTCTGGCACCACTGGGCTGGGGTGGATGCGGAGTTCAGCTCTTTGACTGAGCTGGAGCCCTTGAAAGGGAAAATTCCGCTGCTGCTGTTACTGGCCAAGTCCTGACGTAGCTGTTGTGATGGCAGGTGTTACCGTGCCAGGCAGCGTCCTGTGGAGAGCCGTCCTGGTACAGAGAATGGAATGGGATAGGATAGGGTAGGATAGAACAGAATGGAATAGGAGTCCTTCAGTTGGAAGGAAATTACAAGGATCATGTAGTCCAACTGCCTGACCACTTCAGGGCTGGCCAAAGGTTAAAGCGTGTCACTAAATGCATGGTCCAAGTGCTTCTCAAATACTGTCAGGCTTGGGGCATTGATTACCTCTCCAGGAGGTCTGTTGTGGTGTTTGATCACCCTGTTGGTAAAGAAATGCTTCCTCATGTCCAGGTTAAACCTCCCCTGGCGCAGGTTTGAGGTCTTGCGGGGGCATCCTGTGTGCAGGAGGGCAGCCGAGGTGATGAGGGCAAGGTGAAAGAAGGCTGTAGGCACAGGAAAGGTGGGGGCTGAAGCTGCAGCTGGGCAGGGGCAGGAGAGAGGCGCAGAGTGGGGGGAGATGCTGGGGCCACAGGCATGGGGGAGCTGGTGGTGCTGTCCCAGTAGTGTGGGAGAGGGTGCTTCTGTCTCTGCCCCGGACAAGCTGGCTCACCATCAAGCCAGAGATCATCCGCAAGATGGAGCGGGAAAAGATGCCTCGCATGCCAGACCCCCCAGGGTGCAGCAGAGGTATTGGAGCCCTGTGCCAGGTGGGTACCAGGGGGATGTGGGGAGGAGTGGGGTGTTCCCACAGCACCATCCCCTTGGCTCCATGCCCTGGTGCTGCCCAATGAGGTATATGTGCTGTCCCGTTGTGGAAGGAGCTGCCAACCATCAGCTGTGTTGTTCAGGCAGGAAGGGTGGGGGCTGGTGGGGAGCTCATGCCACTCCCCACGGGGAGATGTCCCATGTACCTGTCTTGACCCCAGCCTCTCTTCCCCAGCAGTGGGTGACCCCGTGACAGAGAGGGAGACTGAGGGGGTCCCGGAAGGGCTGCTGGCACCCACCACCCTGCTCCCAGGGATGCCCATGCCGGGTGGGAGCTGGGAGCTCCCATCGGGGTGCCCCTGTTTCCACCTGCTCTCGGCCCCCCTGCCTCTGGAGAAGACCCCTGCCATGTGCCCCAAGTGTTGCAAGAGCTTCAAGAGCCAGACAGCACTGGCCATGCATGAGCAGAGTCACTCAGGTGAGCGGCCCTTCAGCTGCCACCAGTGTGGGAAGGATTTCCCCTCCAACGGGGACCTCAAGTGCCACCAGAAGACCCACGCGGAGAAGTTGGACCCCCCCCACTCCAGTGTCATACCTGTCACCCTGGATAAGCTTATGCCAGCTGGGCTCCGTAGCAGCTCCCCGGCCCCTGAGAGGCCCCATGCTGGTTCTGAGTGTGGGAAGACCTTTGCCAAGAGCTGCTACCTGGAGAACAATGAGCAGACGCACACAGCGGTGTGGCCCTTCTCCTGCCCACAGTGCGGCCAGCACTTTCAGCTGAAGCAGATTCTGTTGTTGCACCAGAAGAAAGTGCATGGCGGAGAAAAGCCCTTCAGCTGCACTGACTGTGGCATGCGCTTCACCCAGAAGTATCATGTACTGAGGC